CACACAATCACACACACACACACACACACACACACACAGAAACACACACACACTCACACACACACACACATGCACAAGGACTCAAACACATACACTCCATACACAAGCACTCACACACACACACAAACATACGCTCATTCAAACAAACAAACGAACATACCCACTCAGTCACACATTAACAGTCAAAGAGACTGGAGGTCTGTGATACACTCTCAAATAGAAATGTTTGTGAATCAACATGACGTCATGAGATATTGTGCAAGCCGCAAGAAATGTGCCTTTCAAGTGACCAAATAATGATAGAGAAAAAATTAGACGAGGGGAGGGAATGGAGGGGAGGGAGAGAGAGAGAGAGAGAGAGAGAGAGAGAGAGAGAGAGAGAGAGAGAGAAAGAGAGAGGGAGAGAGAAAAAAGAGAGAGAGGGAGAGAGAGAGAGACAGAGAGACTGAGAGACAAATAGAGGGGGAAAAGGACAGACAGACAGACAGACAGACAGACAGACAGACAGACAGACAGACAGACAGACAGACAGACAGACAGACAGACAGACAGACAGAGGAGATACATAAAAAGAGACAGAGAGACAGAGCGATCGACGAGAGACTGGGAGAGCAAAAATTAAAACCAAATCCAAAGCCATAACAACAGAAACTAAAACCAAAACCAACGTCATAAAAAAACAGAAGACTACAGGGCGGGAAACGGCTTAGTCATTTTAGTCTTCAAAAGTAAACCAAATCACAAAACCTAGCTCAGCAGGTGTGGGTTGAAGGAAAAAATAACAGAAGGAAAAAGATCTAGGTGATATGAAACTGGATAAAAATAACAGAAAGAAATAAGCGTTAAGAAACTAGATATAAATAACAACTATCTGTGACGAGGAAATTGACTTGTGGCTCTCAAATTGAGACAAAAGTGTTCACAAGCGCGTGTGCATGTTGACAGTGGAGTGTTGGCAACTTGTGCAAGCCTGTATTTTGTTTAAACTTAAACTTTGCAGAATGGGTGTGTTGTCTCTCACTACGTGTATAACATAAATGGCGTCATCTGCGTGTATGTCATTAACGTAAAATAACACAGAATGCGCATTATTTTAAGAAATATGCTTCGTTTGATTTCATTATCTGTACTGATATTTGCTTCGTGCTATCTTATCTTCAGTTTTACTGGGTTTGTCTTTTTTAGTATTCTTTTAAGTGCCTCACATAGCCTACTGGTTTTTCATATTGATTTTTTTTTTTTATATCGTGTTAATGTAGATGTTTCTACACACCCACAAGCACAACTTAGATCTTTAAGGAGCCAGTCTTCTGGGTGTGACGTCGCAGAGCCTAAAGGCTACACCACAGAGACCGGTCTCGAGCCCAGTATTTTCTGCCCTTTAGTACATATGTACCTAAGTTTTTTTTTAACAAGACATTTTTTTCTCGCAATGGAATGGATAATCTTGTTATGTGCAGTCTTTTGTTGATACGCTGGGTGGAGTCCGTTTTTTAAAAATTCAATAGCTTTTTTTGTTTGTGTGTGTGTGTGTGTGTGTGTGTGTGTGTGTGTGTGTGTGTGTGTGTGTGTGTGTGTGTGTGTGTGTGTGTGTGTTTTCTTTCTTTTGGTGTGTTTTTTTTTGGAGTGTTTTTGTTTTGTTTTTCCCTCAGCCCGGAGAAGACAAGAAGTATGAGTAGAGTGTTTATATATATACAACACCGTCACCAATATGATTTGTTTGACTGAACCCGGAACCAAAGCTTGTGAGAAAACTTGTACTGACGTTCTGTTTTCATTTTACATTAAGATTACAAGCTTGCAAGCACAACACGACACCATGATACTGTGGCTTCGAGAAAACAGGACCAAAACCGTGGTCATTCCGCATTGGCTTTGCGGAAAAATGAAATAATTTTACAGAGTGAAAATGCAGGTGTTTTGATTTGCAGGTGCAAAGTGTGAGGTTGGGGTGGGAGTATGGGTGTGGGGGGGGGGTGTGAAGGATTTATGAGAGACGGTGGAAGGGGAAGGGGAAGGGTGCGCCTTAATGCGAAGAAAGTGGCTCCTGTGGGAATTTGGGAGTTCATATTGGGCACTGGGAAACATTGGAAACACTCTGGAATATAGATCTAATCTTTATACGAAACTAGTCTAGATGCTTTGTTGGGGGTTTTCAAGCATACCAAATCTCCTGATCCTAGTAACAAACCTAGTATTAAGTAATGTTGATTTGACCCTTGAAAAAAAAAGAGAGGAACAACTGACCGTAGTTTCACGTCTGGAATTTTAGAACAAGTATTCCTTACTTCCATAGAATCTAAGTTGAATTTGAAATCTAATAAAACGCTTTTAAGAGGTTTAACTATTCGAGTATATTGAATTTGTTCTGTGTTTAGTCAAACAATCTGC